TTTTTTTTTTTTTTTTTTTTTTGGTTCTTCGTTTAATCATCATATGTACGTGTGGAAGATTAATTTAGGGCCTAAAATAAGGTTGCTGTGCATGCTCCCTAGCAGCTTAGCCACATTTTTATTTTAGATATTATAGACTATTGTCTATTGTGTGAGGTTCAATTTCTAGAGAGCTCTTTAGCTTCTTTTTTTTGTATCAAAAATATAGTACTGCCATTGTTTATGCTTATGAATAAATGAAAAATAATATTTTATCTCATGTTTGTTGTGTCTTGGTAAAAGCAGATTCCCTTAGTTCTGTATATTATATAGTTTTTTATACATGCGTCTATGTCTAGCTTTCGCCTCCTTTTAACCCTATGCAATATTCTCTCACTTTTCTTCCTACTTTCTTTTTTAGAGGACCATCTACGTAAAGCTTTCTTTTATATGGTTTTACTACAATTTTAGCTAAATGGTAACTTAATTTTGAGCTATTCATTTGATTGAGAAAAAGACCCATAAAAAGAGAAATGCTGAGCCCTTTAATTCGGTATTTGTTTATTCAATGCTATATCTACTTTGTTTGTTCTTTTATTTGGCTACGCCAAAGTTTCTTTCTAACCTATAATATGTATAATCTGAAAGAGGGTTGTGGAAAAGTTCATTGGCTTGTGATGGTCTTGAAAGGTAGGATTTGAAAGGGCCATTTTGAACAAATGCAAGCTTTCTTGATGGCTTTTGGAAGGATCAGAAGAGGAAAGGGAAAAGGGAAAAAAAAAGAAGAAAAAAAGCATTATTTAGAGAATACTGAGTCTGAAGAAACTATGAACCAACAGTGTTCCTCAACTCATTTTCAAATTCTAGTCTTTATCTTTTTAGTGTTACAGTGCTAATGAGAATCTCTTGGAGTTTCCTTTTTATATTTTCACCCCAAAAAATAAAAACATTTATTTCTTTCTTCCATGGCCTAAATATCTCAAACAGTGTCTAAAAGTTTGGTTGGCCTCATTGGATTTCTTCAGTATAAAGTGGTGGCTGTTTCTCTTCCCATGGATGGGGTTTCAGTTTTCTTTTTATGTTTCAGTTTGTTCGCTTACCTTTTCACTGTTTTCATCTCCCCATCACAAGTTCCAGACTTTACAGTAAACAACCCTACACAGTCATATTCACAGTAAAAGTTTCTCTTCCTTCTGTACTTTTGTGTTTTTGTGCTTCATTATTATCTTTTTATTTTTTGGGCTCATCTCAGACCCTTGCTTTTTGTTTCTATTATATTAATGAAAGTTACCCTTCAGGGGAAATCAAAGTTTTATGATGAGGACTCTGCAAAATTATCTGCATGGATTAAGCATTCTAATTAACATAATTACTTTAGATCCATTTATCCATCTCCTACACTTCATATATAACCAAGTCTAAAGGTTATACTACGAATTCTGTCCTTTTTTACATCATTTAATTTGGTCCCTATCATATCTGTCATTTTTCTTATTTACTATGGTAGTTGACTGAATTAGGGTTTAGGTTGGAGTAAAAAAAGGAGTTTTTGAATGGTAAAAGTGGCTTAAGATGATGTGCACGGTTCAACCATAAACCAAGTCCAAACTATTATACTTAAAATCAAAACTCTCAAAACCATAAGAAAAACAAATTTCATAGTTAATCCAAACTTTAAACAAGCATTTCTCATTTCTAAAAAAGGGAAGTTTAACTAAACTATAAATACTAAATTAAAACTTTTAGAATAACTATAAGAACCAAATTCATGAAGTAGATAAAGCAGATCAAGCATTTTTTGTTCTCAAGAACAGAGAAAGGCTAAAAGAACCAGAAGAATCAAGAGCCACAGAGAAGGGGGGGAAATCTAGGGTTAGGGTTTGAGATATTTAAAAAGAAAAAAAAAGAAAACATGATGAAGAAGAGGCAGAATAAGTTGTCTTCTTGTCATTGAACAAGATGATGTACTAAGAAATGAAGCAACTCACGAGCCATTGAAAAATGTTAGAGAGAGGGAAGTTTTAATTTTTTTTCCTTTTTTTTTTTTTTTTATAAAAAAAAAAGGGCTTATATTTCTGGGTGGACTGTGTAAATAGATCTCTCTCTCACTCCCCTATGAGAACTAATTGCAGTTTGCATATGTTGGGAGTACAGAACATTCATCATCACAACACACAACACACTGAAACAGCCTCTCTTTTCCTCTACATTGCAATACCCTCTCTATACTTCTGTTTCTCTTCACTTTTTGGCAGTCTCTCTCTCTCTCCCTCTCTCCCTCTCTCCCTCTCTCCCTCTCTCTCTGCCTCTCTCCCTCTCTGCCTCTCCCTGTCCCTCTCTCCCTCTCCAAAGTCCCAGCAACCCCTAAATTTTCACACAGAAAAAAAGAAAAAAAAAGAAACCAATACTAAAAGTTAAAGTCTTTTGTACTCTTTTTCTCTTACCCACGCACGCACACAAGGACACTGATCTCTCCCTGAATCGTATCTGGATATGGGTCGGGCCACGTCCTTTGTCCTCCAATTTATCGCCTCCTCCCTCTCTCGAGATCCCCAATTATTCCTTCCTATTCAATCATCTCATGAAATACCGCTAGAGTAGTATGAATGTCACTCTCATTTAATGTCCTTCGTATTTTTTACAAGAAAAATAGAGTTCACTAAGGAATGAAATACAGGATTTGAAACTCCTGATCACTTTACAATAAAGCACCTATATTAGAAGTCAAATGAAGAAAAACTATCATTAAAAAAAAAAAAAAAAAAAAGGATATTTAAATTTAAACCCATACAGATCATAAAAACAAATCAAAGTTACCAAAAGTTGAGAAGGAGTCCCTCAAGAGGGAACATTTCTTTTGCATCAAAGAAACCAAGAAAAAAAATCTGTCAGCATATATATGACCAACAGACTCCAAGCCCTCATCAACAGATACCAGAAGAGTACTAAAAAATTTATTTCTCCTCAATCATATAAGGTTTGTCTTCCCAATTCTCTCTCATATTAACAATCTTTTTTTATTAAAAAATTATTATTGTTTCTATTAATTAAATTTTGGGGGGCTTCGCTTTTAAAATCTGAAAGGGCTCACTGTTTTGGTTCAGAAGTTTGGTGAGATAAGAGAAGAGGGGTAGAGGGGTTTCTGTGGTTGGTTTCAGTGAATACCTTTTATTCTTTCTTTCTTTTTCTTTTTGTGTGTGTGTGTGTGTGTGTGTGAGTGAAACTGTAGTAATTTCAGAATCCATCATCATAACCCATCAATCTCAATCTTCTACTCTGCAGAGAGGGATGGAGAGACGTGGTAAAGAAGCAAAGAGCAGCTGAAATTTTGGCAGAACCTCATAAGGCTTTCATCATATAAGGACAAATATCATAGACAACAAGCCTTCTAATTTTGCCCCCACCATATAATTCTTCATTTTCTTTCTTCACCCATTTAACGTAAATAATTGAATGCCTAGTTTACTAATTTCAACTATATCTTGAATTTGAAACCTGCTAATTTTACATTATTCTATACAAATTTCGATAAAATCACGTTTATTTAACGATAAGCCTATATTCACATAGTTCTTTCTTTCATTGTAACTTAAATATTAACATAAAGCTTATCTTTATTAAATGGACTCTTTCATCTCTGATGCCATATATTTTAATTTACTTGACATAAAATTTAAAAGTTTTGTTTATCCCACTGATTTCCATAGATAGTGTGTGAGTAGGGCTATCTACGAGTAATATAATTTAATTAGACATTATTATAACTTTATCAAGTAGCTAGAATTGAAGTATTTCTTTACCTCTTCAAGCACTCAGAGAGTGAGCCTTTCGTCTACAATCTCTTTGCATTCCTCTCACAGCCCTTCATTTCAATCATATTCTCGTCCCAAATTCACCAAATCCTACATGTTCTGGACTGCATTAATTGTGACAAACTCTGATGTGCGTGAGAATACACTTCTAAAAACCAAGAATTTATGCATATACTCTAAGAATCCAATTCATTAAATGATTACTTTGACTTATTGGGCATGATGGAAGAATATTTTTCGTTTTTTTTCTTAACGTCTTCCTACCCCAAATTAGGAAACGTGAAAACAATCATATTATCGAAGAATATCTTTGATAAGTACCAATCCAACTTTTTAGCAAAAATGAAAGAAAAAAAGGCCTATCATCTATTTATATATATATATTCATTATAATATGTGGAAAAAAGAATCAAATTATAACAAAAATAAGGGGCTTTAATTAACAATTACTAGTAAAGTTCCCTTACAATTTATTCTCACTTTTATAGAGTACAGGCTCCTACTGTTAGGACTTTGAAACTTTGCACATGTTCTAGCCTGTAGCCTTAAAAAGAAGGATTAGTCTTATCATTTATATATGTGGCTATGCTTTAATATTATTTAACTTTTTTCTTACATATATTAACAATATCTGAACCAATATTATTTGAATTTAGCCCCAAAAGTATATTTTTAAAATTTGGTGAAAGCTTGAATTTGTTTAATTTATGTTCGTAATCTTTGCATGTAATATTTAATTAAGAATATAAGTATCTAACTTTGTGGTAGATGGGTTGAAGGAAGAGTATATGATTCAAAGGAGTGCCCAACCACACTCCAACTTTTGCAATTGCAATTATGTAAAGCTTGGAAGTAATTTAAAATAGTTGGGGAATATTATTAATTAACACTTGGGCATTGTTTGGGATTAGGGTTTACTTTTCAACCATTCTTTAGAAATAATGGGCTTAAGTTTGTGAAGTGTTTTTCTCACAAGCATATGCATCTACATGACTCTTAATTTCATATGATATTAACACATCAATTTACGAAAATCATACTTGCAAACACTTTCTACCCTTAGCTCTTTTGTTTTATTACCAACTTCTTAAAAATGGTTTACGAAACCAAATCAAATTTTGAAAACTAAGAAAAAATATTTTTAAAAACTTAATTTTTACGAAATTTAGTTTAGAATTCATGTGCTTAAAGTAGGTGAAAAACTCACTCAGCCATGGAGGAAGCCATCATAATTTTTAAAAAAACAAAATAGTTATTAAATATGAGATTATTATCAATTCCCACTTTCTTTTTTTTAGAAAAAGATAAAATTAGCAATTGAATGAAAAATTAAGTTGGATAGATGGTTTAAAAAAATTGGTGGCGGCAAACCAAAACGAGGGTGATTTTGGCAATAACTCCACTCTTGTATATGGACCGTGAAAAAATAATGTTGAGCCCAGAAAAATAACGTTTTGGGCTAACTACTAGGCCCATTGGGCGAATCCAAAATGCCGAAGAATTTCAAGTGAAATGGAAATTGAAAAGGTTTCTAGAAGAATAATTTTAGAAAACACACGAGTTGTTTTGTTTTGTTTTGGCATCAAACTAAATAACTCGATTGTTTTTCCCGCTAAATAGATAGTTTTGATACCAAATTCAGTCTACAACCAACTTGAACATACCTGAATCGATCAAGATGTTCCATGTTCCACGTTTAAATTTCTCGCATCTGCAAGAGTAAACTTAAAAAAAGAAAAATAACTTTTTAAAATTAATATTTCCCGATTATATTTAACTTTTACAAAAAAAAAAAAAAAAAAAAAAAAA